GCCTCCAGCAAGGTGCGGGCTGGTTCGGCTATAGGAGTGGTCAGCTCGCAACGCCAAGACCCTGTAGCCGGTAACGGAATCCATGAAGGAAGCTGAGGACAGCTGTTCAGGTCACTTGCAGATTAGAGGTGCTAACTCCTGCGACATCTCGAATGCAGAGTGTTGGCTTTGACGTGTCAGGCCTTCTCGTCTAGTCTCGTCACACGTTGGAAACTCCGCGGCCCTTGCGAAATTGCCAGGCTGCAGAGTTTCTGAACCCTCCTCCAGCCAGCCGCCAGCCTTTCTAGTGACTTTGTAAATATCGGTGACATGTTATGCATATCAGTCTGACGAGTGAAGACGGTGTCCGAATCAGCAGTGCTTCAACTTTTCGCCCCGCATTCCTTCAAAGCCTGAACTTCACAAAATGGTGTGAGCACTCACGGCATGTTGTTATGCTTTCAGGCACGTGAACGTTTTCTCAAGCACGGCCAGCCGTACGTCTTCCTCGAGGAATTATGGGGACTACACGGTTAAAAGACACCATGCGAACTGTGTTTGCAAGTACAGCAACCGCACTGGTTAGAATCAACTATCTGCTCACATGTCCATAGTAATGACTGCTCCATTTGGAGAAGCTCGCGTCCCGCACTTCGGCAAGCTATCCAAGAAATTATATTTATGCCCAATGCTCGCGAGTGTAGTAGCAGCAATCTGCTGACCAGGGCAGGGCGACTGAAAGTCATCGTTATCTGCATGATAAGCATCCTCGTCGAGTGCAGACTTGGCGTCAGAAGCTGTGCTATCACAGGTAGGCGATTACCAGCATCGTGCAACTGCTCAGCTTCACTCTTGCGCTCACAGACGATCGCAGGACAAGAAGTCTGGCTTTGGAGTTACCGGCCCGACGTGGATCCATGATGCACTTTCATACACCCCCAGCAAGGACGGCGTAGAGGTTCGGCAAGGATGTGTTGGAGAGTCCAGAACCGAAGCAATCCTTGCAGGACAAAAAGACAGTCGAGGTGCAGTCCCACTACTTCCCTTTGAAAAACAAGAGCTTTGACTGCTAAAAGCTTGTGAGATGCCCGTTGTGAGCTTGCGGGGCACTGATGCTGTGTAGCAGCGCCGGCTGCTCATGTGGTTGAATGGTTGTATTGAGTCGCGCGATTGTTTCGGTTGGCTTGGAGGAATCTGGGAGACGTGTCGCTTGGCCCAGAAGATTGCTCTGTTTAGGGTTTGGTCTTTCGGAGTGACGGTCTCAAGGACCTGTAAGGCGGAAAGACTAGTTGGAGTAAAAGGAGACTGAGAAGCCAGAGACAGCTATCCGTTTGCAAGGGCTTGCTCGCCGCTGCTTTTGCTTGATCGTGAGATTGCAACTTGTCTTGCTCACAGTGTGTGGGATGAGTGCTTGCAACCAAGGCCTTTTATCCAAACTGTCGGCTACCACTATTGCAAGCTCTTGTCGCCAGCTCGGGCTATGGAGTGGATTTACGTGGATGGCTTGAAGGAGAGTGCCTAAACATTGCTGTTGGTTGTCACGGGACGTTGCAGGGATACTCATCGAATCTGCAGGAATTCTACGGCACCCATGATTCTGGGATGGAGATCCTGATGTAGCCTGCTTGGCGGGCGACTGCTGCTGCGTGCCGATGAGCCCCGCCATAAAAAAGTCGAGAGCATCTCTCGCCGTGTGGCGTATTGGCCGGTTCATTCCTGGACGCGCTGCTGCCCACCTTCAGTGTCAAGGGAAGGGTGAACCTGCGCCTCTTGTGCTTGGCGAGACGGACGCAGAGACTGTGACTCTTAGGCGCTCTTCTTTGTTTTTCCGAGCATTTCCGTGCTCGCTGCTCGCTGCAGCTTCCAGGCAGCTTCCTGTATTTGGCAGCACTTAGGAGTGCTTTTGTCGGATCCAGAAAGCTTCGGCCACAAAGGTGGGTCCGAGCGCCAAGGCACAGCTGTTCCATGCCGTGTGGCAGAAAAGAGGGGGTGGCATTTGTGAAGGGCCCATGCTGCACCAAGCATAGATGAGTTACGTGAACACCTGCTTGAAGGCGTGCTGTTTACTGAGCCTGTAAAGCCCCTCGCGATTTCCTCACACCCAAAGTTATGGCGCAGCATCGGTATGATGTGTCCAAGCAGTAGACATGTCTCCTGTCCGGGGGTCGGCGCGGGAGCAGAGCCTTCGCAGAGCCTCCAGCGCAGGACCGCACCTGCCTTTGCGCGGAGGTCTGCTGCTGTCCCGGGCTTGCCGTAAGCGGCAACCGGTTCGGAAGCCCAACGTTTAGGTTTGGCTGCTGCCTAGCAAGATCCCGACATTGCGAGGGAGATCCTTCATGATTTGCCGAGGTTTATGGTGCAGACACGCTTCGATAAAGAGAACACGGCTTGCGATGATTGCATCATCACCGGCACATGCCTGTTTGTGGGGAGCCTACGTGCCGACGGGGCAGAAGCGAACGGCTACTAGTAGAGCTGGTTCAATCTCAGTTGTGAGCTGGCTACTGCAGCTTGCGGATTTTAGACCCAAGGTTTGGATAGTGGACATTGCGCGGCCCGTGCCCTAACTGGGAGTGCTTCAATTCTAGATCAGATCTCGCTCCGAACCGTTAGGTCTCGGACCTGTAGTAAAATGGCACTACGACCCCAGAGGCCACCCGCCACGCAGAAGCCGCCCAGGTGTTTCATCGACATTCCCAGGGAGATTGACGTGCTGGCAGACTGCGACCTGGCATGCACAGGGTGCGAGCAGTGGGAGAGATGTGTCATACCTTTGCAACACCGCGTGTGGTTCCGTGCTTGGCGCCGAGGCATCGTCCTGAGTGTGACAGGATGCATGCATGCACAGCAGCAGATTGAGATCGACGAGATCAAGAAGAATGGCTATCAAGGCCAGTCTAGCGAGAACGGGCTCAGGCTTGGGCGCAGAGGGGCTGCATGCAGCAGAGGCATGCCTCCACTCATCATGAACTCGCTGCCGCCAGCGCAGCAGATGATGTTTCAGAAGGCAGGGCAGGTTCTCTGCCCAGACAAGCTTTCTTACACTGTGGATTGAGTGCGGAAGGTGGGCATTAATGGTGCCGGCGGAGGCATGCACCCGGCGATGGTTGGGGCGCCCCAAGCACAGTGCCCCCGGAAGCATTGCCTGTCGAGTCGTGAGCTTGTTTGCCTTGCGAATTGGTTTGGTGACGCCAACGGGCGAGGGGCCATGTCTGCGAGACCTGCCTTGCAGTCGAGACGACCTGGTTGCGCTTTACCGGCCCGAGTAGTGAGTTTCTTTTGCGAGGTACATGGACCAGTATCCGCAGTACCCACAGTACCAGCCCCAGCTTTCATGGCACGAGAGAAAAATGCTTCGCCAGCGCTCCCTTTGATAGAGCGGCTCGCGGGGGCGTGTTGCGCGGCAGCAGACTGTTCTGCTGTTCTCGGCGGGAGCACGGGGGTGTTTGTGGCATCTGTGGGCGTCTAGGCCCTTCGTGGATAGGTGGTGATGGCACCCACGAAGAGCCTATCCAATGTAGCCCGCCTCGACGCATGTCGAACTTGTTAGCCCTCCGTCCCGCAGGCAGGGAATGCCAGTTCAAGGAGTTCCGGTTGTGCAAGCAACTGTGGTACGGTGAGGCGGGGAAGTGCATTGAATAGGCAGAGTCCAGGATTTGCCCACATTGCTTTCTCTTGGTTTGGCAGTTTAGCAACTGGGAGCGCTGGTGGGGTAAGCAAGTAGTACACGTTCCAAAATACAGGATGCCGGACAAGCACCTTGCTTTTATGGGTTTCGAGGATGTTGGGAGTCACAGTGCTTGCGCTCAAGTGCGAGAGTGGATTCCCATTCCCGTCCTCTGAACTCAAGTTGATGCCTACTTGATACCTCACGAACTTCTCTTAGTTGCCGTAAGTTTTACTGGCTGCTGGCTCCTCTTTGAGTCTGTGAACAGCCCCAAAGGAACCGCCTGAATCCCTGAACCCCAAGCCCGAACCCTGCGGCCAGGTTCGGCCGCCGCGTCCTCAGATGTCGAGTCCCAGGTGCCCGCATGGTTTGTCCCAGTTCTACTTTGTAACGGCATTTGTTGCGCAACCCTCGTGCCGATCGCCTTTCTTGCATCTTCTTACTCTGCCAGACTGCAAACCGTGGCCAAGGTCGCGTGCCCCTTTGGCCGAAGGCCGAAGCAGACTTGAGCTGGGCACGTACGTGAGACCGTAGTTCGCTTGCGTATGGTGCCAGTCAGGTGGTGTTTGTTGTCAGTGCCGGCCTTGCAATGTCTTGCATATCGTCTTCCGAATAGCACAGGCTAGTTCACTTCGAAAATTCAGTCTCCTACAGGTTGCAAATCCGTTAGCCGTTGCACTTCCGATATCTCTGATGTCTGTGAGGCCTTCATTCGGAAGACTTCCGAAGGAGGTGCCTTAAAGGGCGCGACAAGACCGGCAGTTGGACCCGCACGAGAATGCTGCAGAATTTGAGCACGAGGCCCCAGGATAAACACACTCGGTCAGCTTTCAAGACGCTTTAGGCTTCGCCTCCTGTGCACAAGCGGAAGCAGGGACCCTCAAACCACAGCAATTATAGCAAGAAGGATGTTGGGCGCGTGTCAGAACAACGGTTGGCAGCGTTGGTAAAACTCATTGGATCCTAAACATGATGCCGTGCCCGATTTTCACTGATCACGCAAGCGCTAAGCGCTACGCGAGAGCAGCCACTGCTTTTCTGAAAGCAGCTCATGCGACTGTCGATGCTGTGTTGTTGGTGGACACCTGCAGCAGATCGTCCCGCCCTAACCAGATGTGCCCTTTTCCCGACCCCGACAGCTAGGAAGTGCACAGTTCACGCTCACAGCAAGCAGTCATCTCGGAGTCGTGCTAGTAGCGAGCCTCGGACATCTCAGTCAGAGTCACAGGCCTTTGGATGCCGTCCGATGCTCGCCATGGCATGACACAGACCAAACATGCCGCTCATTGCCTCAAAAGAGCCGTCAGAGACGAAGCGGAGCCAGGGAATTTGAGGTTCAACGTGTGCCTTTCAGGAGGCGACAGCCGTACGGCCTGTCGAGGCCTCGCCCAGCTCCCCCGGGCGCCGGCGACCCAGCGTAAGGGTCACTGCCTGCACTGGCATTTTCGGTTTGATCTCCATTTCGGCAATGAAGAGAAGTGTCAGTCATGTCACGTCAGTTAGACACATTTTCCTGATTGCTCAGATTCATTGTCTAGGCCATGGCACTGTTTTTGATTTTCGTTTATTCGATCCTTGCCTTTCGAAGGCAGCTCTCGTGCACTTTCGACACCGTGGGGTGAGATGGAGGCATTTACCAATCGGCAGTTGCGTTTACATGAAGATTGATGTAGATTGTACTTCTTCTTATGCGAAATGAGTGTGAGCCACGTGTTGCTCAGAGCCAGGCAGCCAAACCCGAGTCCACGCCGCAGTCGTGCTTGTGCCTGAGTCGATGCAGTAAAGGGTGGTCCAGCTCCAGCTCAGGGAAGGGTGCATGCATCTGGATCGAGTGAGAGGGAGGTCGGTGTTTTCAGCTCTGATCCACTCGCGTTGCACAGTTGGTGCCGACCGGGCGTGAGATGTCTCTCTCTCTCTCTCTCTCTCTTTTCTCTCTCTCTCTCTCTCTCTTTTTTCTCTCTCTCTCTCTCTCTCTCTCTCTCTCTTTTTTTTCTCTCTCTCTCTCTCTCTCTCTCTTCTCTCTCTCTCTCTCTTTTCTCTCTCGCTCTCTCTCTCTCGTCTCTCTCTCTCTCTCTCTCTCTTTTCTCTCTCTCTCTCTCTCTCTTTTTTCTCTCTCTCTCTCTCTCTCTCTCTCTCTCTTTTTTTTCTCTCTCTCTCTCTCTCTCTCTCTTCTCTCTCTCTCTCTCTTTTCTCTCTCGCTCTCTCTCTCTCTCTTTTCTCTCTCTCTCTCTCTCTTTTCTCTCTCTCTCTCTCTCTTTTCTCTCTCTCTCTCTCTCTTATCTTTGTCTTGTCTATGTGTCTAAAGAACCATGCCTTCGTGCTTGTCGGTGTGATGTCGGCATGTACCGGTTCAACAAAAGTTTGCACGCACTGTGGCGTGGCTGTTATATGTGCGTGCTGTGCTGTATCTGGACGAAAAATGCTGCATGCACGTCGTGTATGTTAGTGGGATGCGAGTGGTATGCTCGCTACGCAATACCGTCCTGTTGCCGATATGCAATGCTGTAACGTGCTGTTACAATGTCATGCTCAGGTAATTTTAACGCTACGCCGCCCGCCTCGGCTGTGTAGCGGCAGGGCGAGGGGGCAGTCGATGTTTTTTAATGCTTGCAAGGTGCAGGTGCGGCCGGTCAAAAAAAACAAAACCCAACCTTACACGGTTGTTTGTATACGAGGAAACGGTGTGGGGGGGGGGGGGGGGGAAATGGGGGGGTGGGGGGGGTGGGGGGTTAGGGGGGGGAGGGGGTGGGGGGAGGGTGGGGGGGGGAGGGGGGGTTGGGGAGGGGGGGGGTGAAACCTGATGTTTACACAGCCAGGTGCCTGTCCTGTTTCAACTTCACGTTGCATTCTCCATGCCTGTTGCTCAAGGTTTCTAAAGTGCAGTGGACTACAGCTGTGCGCCTGTAGCAAAAGAGACACCTGAGTGCCTGTGTTCCTGTACGCCTAGCGAGGGGATACACGTCCAGGTTACATCTCCACGTGGTAGCGGAGCTCCCGGGAAACGGGAAGCTTCACACTTGTGGAGGTACCCGTTCGGTACTCTCTACACAGGTGGAGGCAACCGGAATACCCGGTGTGCTTCACTCAGGTGAAGGTGACCGGAGTCTCTCCCGCACACTTCACTCAGGTGAAGATAACCGGAAGAGGTTTCTCCCGGGGCTCGATCCAAGAACAGCGCAATGGCTAGCCACTCTGCGACTATCTTTGAGCATGAAGTAGGAGATGATGACTACCTCCTCCACGGAAATGAATCTTTCGCGACTAATCATCGTCATCTCAATGAATTACACCGTCTTTCAGCTTTCCAGCAGGTGACCACCAAAGTACCTCCATCTTATGATGGTAGAAGCAGTTGGTTTGCCTATGAAGATGCGATCGATGACTGGTGTGACATTACTGAGCGAGACAATGATAAGCGTGGACCAGCTTTGAGAAATCGGCTAGAAGGTGAAGCAGCAATCCACAAGAGGCTTCTCGACAGAGATCGCCTGAAGGACCCGAACAAAGGAGTGAAGTACTTCAAGAGTTTCCTGCGGCCGCTTTTCGTGAAGGGAGCAGCGAATGTTTTTCTCTATCGCTTCCAGCAGTTCATGAACATGCACCGTGGGAACGGAGACATGCTTCGTTGGATTACCAGGTTTCAACTCTCTGTTCAGAGAATGCAAGAAGCGTGGAACGATACCTATCTGCCGATCGAGGACCCGAACAATGCAGAGGTCAGAGCTTTCATAGTAGGACTTCCTCCAGAAGAACAAGAAAACCTTACGCCAGCTCAGGCAATGGAAAGAGCCAACGAACGGCTCAGAGAGCAGCATGCTCGGACCATTCCGATCACGCCCAACCTGGTCGCTTTGATCTTTGTGTCCCTGTCTGATCTGACACAGGATCAGCGTCAGGTGTTGACATCACTGATGGCGCATCGAAACCGAGTCCTGGCTGACTACAACACGGCCGAGCTTCGCGAAGTCTACCTGGAGATCTTCTGTACGACCAAGACTACCGTCGACAATCCACTCCTCGCTCCTTCCGGCCACGGTGGCCGCAAGACCTTCCTTGTGATCGCTGAAGGATATTTGAACGATCATGAAGGCTACTGGGTCGAGGACGAGGAAGATGGCACCGAAGGTTTCCTCGAAGCGGATGAGGACGCCTTCTGGGTCTACGACGACGAGCACTATTCATGGTTCCAGCGGCGCTTCCAAGGCCGCAAGATGAGGCGCGGATTCAAGGGCCACCGTAAAGGAAAAGGGAAAGGTGGCAAAGGATCCAAAGGAAGGCGCTTCTTCAAAAGGAAGAAAGGCAGGTCACATCTTGCCGAAGAATCAGAAGCATGGCAAGCAGAAGTACAATGGCAAGATTACCAGTGGAGCGATCAGTCCTGGGATGACTGGTCCTGGTACGAGTCTGAGGAATCCTATGCAGCCAAAGGAAAAGGGAAGAAAGGAAAGAAGGGCAAAGGAAAGAGCAAGTTTGGCAAGGATGGAAAAGATGGAAAGTGCGGAAAGACGGACAGAGCCAGCTTGCTGATGCTGCCCCGAGCGGCACCACAGCCGCCACAACCTTCTTCGTTGAACATCTCAACACTCCGAACTTTTCTTTCATGGCCCCCGAAGAGAAGATCAATGAGATCGAGGAAGCCTTCATCTCTCAGCCCTTGACGCCGACCGCGATGGTGTTGGACCTGGGATGCACGAGAGCAATGGCTTCGAGAGTGGCCGCACAGGACCTCATGGAGTTCTTTGACAAGAACCAGAACTGTGGCATATGGTACACCATTGCTGAGACCACTTCTCAGTTCACCTTTGCCAATTCCGAGTCTACCAAATGCAACCAGAAGTTGGTCATTTGCATGTACGACCGGGACTTTGCAGTTCAATCCACATAGTTCGACATTGTGGAACAAGGGCATGTTCCCATTCTCATGTCCTTACCTCAGATGCGCAATCTTCGTTTCCAGTTCGAGCTCCATCCGGAAAAGGCCTTACTCAGCAGCCCTGTGCTGGGAATCAAGGATGTGAGGCTGAAGGTTGCACCCAGCTCACACTTGGTACTTGATCTTCTTGAACTCAGTCAGCTGATGTGGAATGTGCGTTTCAGCAAGCATAAGAAGTCGAGCTTCCTCACCTACTTCTCCCACTACGAGTACGGCTTCCATCAGAAAACCGAGGGATGCTGTTCTCATGAACAGGTACCTGACAATCTCGTGTTGGCGACTGATGATGAATGGGTGATCAACGAAGCCGACATGGAAATGATTCGCATCCACAAGAAGATGAGAAGAGTCAAGTAGGAACCCAAGGCGGGTTATGTGCCAATTCCGTTGGAGTATCTGGACACCAAGCGCAAGACGATCATGGAGTTCTCCAAGGGAAAGAGCGTTACTCAAGAAGATGACTGGCGTTCTTCTGAGCTTTCTTCAACAAGAACTACTGACTCTTGGAAAGGCAAGACCATTTTCAAGATTCTGCCTGGTGGCATCGAGAGTAGAACCTCGGTGCCAGCTAAGTCCAAGGATCCAACCCGTGGCAAGGTAGGATCTCCAGAGGACATGGTTAGCGCAGGTAAGCCTGAAGACAGCTCGAAGAACACAGGAGCATCCGGAAGCTTTCCTCAGGGAAAGGCACCGGCAAAGAGAAGGATTCGAGCCAAGGGAAGCTTGCCACAGGGAAAGGCACCCGAGGAACCGGCTCCTCCTCCTCTTGCTCCTGAAGATGATCCGGATCTTCAAGAGTACGAACCTTCCGAACCGGGGGATGCAGATTTGCTTCCTCCGAGTCCTCCGAAGGCCCCAGAGCCACAGTCGCTAGAAACTAGGAGGATCGCGCTTCCGTTGCCAGGCCACGAGGTCTCAAGGGCTTCTCCGCAGTATCAGCGCATGTTGGAAAAGCTGAACAATGATGTTGAGCTTTACAAGTTGCATGTGACGCATTACCACATGAGTCCTGCTCAGTTTCGACGCAGGACCAGCATGCTTGGTCTGCCAGGAGAGATCTATGACAAGTACGACCGCATTGTCAAAGGCTGTCGTGTTTGCAGCACCTCGGTGCCTACGCCTCCGCGAGCCATAATCGCAGGGTTAAGAGCATCATCCTTCGGTGATCTCATTTTTGTTGATCATGAAGAAATCAAGTTCGGTACTAAAGCCTACTTGGCTTTGGTCATCATTGATGGTGCTTCAAATCTTCTGTGTGCTACGGCTCTTACAAGCCTGGAAGCGCCAGAGACTCTGGGAGCTTTTAGACAATGGACAGAGGAGAACAACTGCGTTCCTAAGGGAATCGTAGGAGATCAAGCTTTTTCACGCCGCAGTTCATGTCTTACTACAAGTTCCATGGCATTACTCCGTATCCATGTGGACCACGGACTCCTTGGCCTAATCGAGCTGAGACCGCAGTGCGTCTTTTCAAGCGCACCTGGGCAATCATGGCCAAGGCCTTAGCTGATGGGGGTTATGCAGAGAAGGTGACTGTTCGTCAAGCAGTCAAGAAGGTGGCCTGGGCAAGAAATTGCCAGCTTACCGTCTCAGGCTATTCTCCTTTGGAGATAGCTACAGGAAGACGGCCACCAGACTTGTTTGATGTCGAGAACAGTTCTCCTGAACAGCTCTCTGCTGAACCTGCCGATGAGGATCGAACCACTCTGGAACTCCAGAGGATTGCCATGCGGGCTCATCAAGAGGCTAGACAATCACTTGACCTTCGGAAGGACCTTGCACGGAGAGGTATGCCGTCTGATGGTCCTTACTCGAAGGGTGACCG